AGAGAGAGAGAGAGACACAATGGAAGAAATGAAGAGACATCTTAGTCCATGTTGGGTTCTATCAAGTAATGGACAATATTTCTCCAAAGAGAAGAGAGAGAGAGACATAATGGAAGATATGAAGATGTATCTTAGTCCATGGTGGGTTTTATCACATAATGGACAATATTTCTCCACAGACAAGAGAGAGAATGGAAGAATTCAAGAGGTGTTTTAGTCCATGTTGGGTTCTATCAAGTAATGGACAATATTTCTCCACAGAGAAGAGAGAGAGAGAAAGGAAGAAATGAAGAGGTATCTCAGTCCAGGTTGGGTTTTATCAAATAACCATTGAAGGTGACATAAATGTCGACATCGTCGCTGTAGACAGCGTTTTCCCGCTCCCGCTTGTAAAGGCGCACCCAAACTTCATCGTTCTCCTGCAACTCCAGCATGATGCTCTGGCTCTGCATGATGCTGCGGTCACTGGGCTGTGCATAGCAGATGACCATGTCCTGGTCATTCTTCATGATGTGGAGGTAGGTCTCCTTAAAGTTCCACGTGTGGATGTTGAGGTTGAAGTAGTAAATTCCGGGGATGTAGCAGTAGAACTTGCCCTTGAACATGTTGAAATGACCGTGGAGGTTCACAAAGGTCGTGTCAAAGACCAGGGTTTGATAGTAATCGCTGCTGTGTAGTCCTTTCTTGCGGCCTACAGAGAAGGCTGAGTAGTGTTGCTTGTATGAATCGCCAGGTATTCCTGCCTGACCCCGGTCTCCTTTAAGCCCCATTGGACCTTGTATTCCTATCGGGCCTTCCTTGCCATGTTTCCCTTGGGGCCCCCGTTCGCCCTTTTCACCTTTGTCCCCTGGAAAGAAAGAGAAGACTGTCAATACTCTCCTTTACCATGGACTATATCCCAAGCACACTGGAGTGGTACTGCGGATGGGAGGCATAGATTGGACTGGATTGGAAACTGATGGTTAAAAACAAAACTTGGCAACATCAAAATCACTGGCGTAAGACATAACAACCAGAGCAGACCATTTGGACTAATGGATAAAGTATCTGACTTGGGTGTTAATCTGGGCACTGTCATACAATTGTAGGTTCGAGTCCTACTGTGATCACTTTGGATGGCATGCTGGCTCAGTGATTAGCACTGCTGCCTCACAGTGCCAGGGATCCGGGTTCAATTCCACCCTCAGGTGACTGTCTGTGTGGTGTTTGCACATTCTTCCCGTGCCTGCGTGGGTTTCTTCCGGGTGCTCCGGTTTCCTCCCACAGTCCAAAGATGTGCAAGTTAGGGTGGATTGGCTGTGCTAAATTGCCCATAGTATCCAGGGGAGTGCAGGTTAGGGTGGATTGGCCATGCTAAATTGCCCATAGTATCCAGGGGAGTGCAGGTTAGGGTGGATTGGCAATGGGAAATTGCCCACAGTATCCAGGGGAGTGCAGGTTAGGGTGGATTGGCAATGGGAAATTGCCAATAGTATGTAGGGATGTGCCGCCTAGGTGGGTTGGCCATGGGAAATGCAGGATTACAGGGATAGAGTAGAGTTGTGGATCTGAGTGGGATGTTCTTCAGCACGTGTGGAGTCAATGGGCTGAATGGCCTGCTTCCACACTGTAGGGATTCAATGATCCAAACTGTACTAGGATCCATAAGATCCTAGTCACAATGACTGAACAAATTTTCTGGTTGCTATTACACAATAAACCTTCCTGCTGTCTAAGGGCAGTGCTTTTTCCGTAGAAACCCCATGGTGGTATATTGTCAACCACTAATCACTTAAAAAGGCCCAAGACGATGTAGGATTGACGGCAGAAAATTAGCTGAAATAACCCTCAGACTGGTAGAGGTGGGAAATACTACAAGGTAGCAGGAGCAGCTATCTTGGAGATCACCATGGTTGACTGATGGAGATCTGCCAAGATCTAATGGATTGACAGAAGGGGCTGAATGGTCTCCACCTGCTCCTGTGTTCCTAACACTCATGCTCTTTGAACGGGGCAGGACAGTAGCGGGATGGGGTGGAGGAGCAGGAGGGTGAAGAGCTCACCTCGCTGAGAGAGAAGTTGGTAACTAGCCATTCGGCTCTCAACAAGCCTGACCTGGAGTCTTTGGACTCAGAGAAAACACTGATAGCCCCTGCTGCCAAGCCAGCAATTCCATGTTAAAGACTTATTTAGACATTTACAAAGGACAGGTGCCCCACAGTTTTAAGTGATTTCAGGCACAGGGGGCTGGAGAGTATTCACATTTCCAGTCGGGAGTAGCACTTACTTTTTGTGCTCAAACATGGCTCAATGCCAGTATAATTTGTCACGTTGTCTTCACTACCAGTATCACGCCCAGGCAAGTGTGAGTCCTTAAAACCAGCTGTCAATTTACTGCTGCAGTTTGTATCATCTCCTCCAGATCTACATTAACCAGAACATAAGAAACAGGAGCAGGAACAGGCCATTCAGCCCCTTGGGCCTGCACTACCATTCACTTTGATCACAGCTGATCTGCTGGTGGCTTTAACTCAACTTTCTTGTCTGTTGCCCTCCTGAAACACTCAACTCCCTTGTTGATCACAAATTCAACATCAAGTTTTCCCAATGATCTAGCCTGTTTTGCTCACTTGGTTGGGGGTGGGGGGAGTGGTGGTGGAGGGTGGCGGTTGGGAAGGTGGGGTGGGGGGGGGGGGGCGAGAGAATTCCAAATGGCCCTCAGAAATTCTTCCTCATTTCTCTAAATATGAGACTATTTATCTTAAAACTGTGTTCTGCATTCTTACCTGTCCTCAGGGGTAGCAGCTAGCATCTGCCTCATTAAGCTGCCTCAGAATCTCATATGTTTTAATCAAAGCTTAAACACACATACCTACAGATTCAACAGATGTGCTCTGAGGAAGGGTCACCAGACCCAAAACGTTAACTCTGCTTTTCCCTTCATAGATGCTGCCAGATCTGCTCAGCTTCTCCAGCAACTTTGTTTTTGTTCCAACAGATTCAAGAACAGCTTCTTCCCCGCTGTTTTTAGACTTCTGAACAGATCTCTCAAATCTTAAATTTAATGTTGATCTCGGTCTTTGTGCACCTTCTCTACAGCCGTAACATTGTATTCCTCACTCTGTTCTATTACCCGAATGCACTTTGTATGGTACGATCTGCCTGTACTGCAAGCAAAACAAAACTTTTCACTGTACCTAGGTACATGTGACAACAATAAATCAAATCAAAAGATCTTTCTAGAGTCCAACCTGCTCAACATGTCCTTGTAAGACAAGCCCCAGGGATCAGCCAAATAAATCTTCACTGAACTGTCTCCAATGCAAACATACTCCTCCTTAGCTTGATCTCTGCCTGAGTACTTTTTACATAAATCTTCTAGAGTTATTGCCCGCACTGCGTAACATGGAAGCAATATCTGTGTAATTCCATCAGATGATGACAGTTCATGGAGATTACTGTTGGCATCTTATAATTTACAGCAGCCTCGGTGTTTAACTTGAGTCGTATTCTACACTGAAGCGAATCCTATTGACCTTTTCAAATCTGTCATCCTGTAAAAAGAACCACGTACATCAGTGAATTATATTCCCACGCCCACTCTCCTTTATTAGGCAACACTGGCAATTTAATATTTTCCATCTGACCCCATCAAATGTCCCATAAAAATGATCATCTATCTTTCAGATGAGATTTTACAATAAAACCCCAATTACCAGCTCAGGACGAGACGAAAGATCAGAAAGGAACATATTTAGGAACCAACAGAGATGAGGAGAATGTCTTTCCCTCAGGCGTGTATTTATTCTCTGAAACTTTCTTCCCCACAGAGTGGTGGAAGCTGAATACTTTTAGTGTAAGAGGTGGAGAGAACATAAGAACTAGAAGAAAGGGTAGGTCATCCAGCCCCTTGGGCCTGCTCCGCTATTTAATACAATCATGGCTGATCTCATGTCGGCCTCAGCTCCATTTTCCTACTGCTCCCCATAACTCTTCAACCTATGTTTTGTGATGCTAACAAGGTCAGCCAGATGGACCTCATAGAATATGAGTTCCCTGACTGGGGCTGTTAATCTGGTCCAATCAGGGACCCCTGGCTGACAGATATAAACAGGAGCGTCAGGAGTTCTGCTCACTCTGAGACCTGGCTCTGAGCTAACTGGGTCAGTGTCATGTACAATGCATGTGTAAATAAAGGATGACTTGGCAATGGGATATTAGCCTTTGTGGAGTTAACTGTGACGAATTAAAGATCTGTCCATCCCCTCTTTAAATATATTCGATATCCCAGTGTGCACCACATAGTGAATTCCACAGGTTTATAGCCCTTTGAGAACAATCAGTCCTCCTTATCTCTGTTTTAAGTCTGCCACCCTTCAGTCTAGACCTCTCATGTTAGATTGACCCTCAACATCTGCTCTCTGAAGGTGCCTTGGCTAATGCTGGAGTTGATGGAGGATCAAGATGAGTGCAGAGCAGAGGCCAAAGCCAGATCGATCATAATCTTCATGAATGGTTGTACAGGCTGGGGATGGTGTCAAGTGGCCCACTCATGCTCCTAATTTGTGTGTTTTCTTTGCTTGTATCTATGACTTAGTGAAAGAACGGACCAATCATATTGAATAAAGGCTATAATTTTACATGGGGGTGCAGGAACAGAGGGATCTGAGTATCTATGTTCATTTGTTTCTCCAGGAGAAATGGTGGTACAATGGTAATGTCACCGGGCTAGTAATGCAGAAGCTTAGGCTAGAGCTGTGTACATGTGGGTTTCAATCCCACTGTGGTGTTGGACGGCACTTAAACTAACTTGCAAAGCAATCTGGACATTGAAGAATAGTCTTAGTAATGGTTACTACAGCAGCTGTTGTCAATTGATTTATAACAAGGTTGAGTTGAACTCAGTTCAAGGGCAATTAGAGATGGACAGCAAATTTGACCTTGCTGGTGATGCCCACATCTGATGTTGAATATAGAAGGACACATTGAGAGAGCCACTAATAACGTGTAGACCATCCTTCATTTTAGCAATGGGGCGTAGATTACAAGAGAAAACAGGTTACTTTAAACTTGTATAAAGCATTGCCTTAGGGTCAAGTAGAATATTGCTTCCAGACCCGGGCATGAGACTTCAGGAAAGTTGGGTAGATGTTACACAGAATGCAGAAAGTTTTACGAGAATAGTTTCCAGGGCTGAGGCAGTTTAGTTACGAATTGGAGAAGCTGGACTGTTGAAGAAGATAAGGTTGAACAGAGATTCAATAGACGCATTTAGAATGAATGAGGCATCTGGACAGTGTAGACAGGAAGAAATTGTTCCCATAGCAGAAGGATCGAGAATCAGAGGCAATAGATTTAAGGTACTTGACAAAAAAAGGGATGGGGAGACCAGGAGAAATGTTTTCACGCAGCAAGTGGTTAGGTTCTGGAATGCACTGCCCAGAAGCGTGGTGGAACCTGATTCATTTGAAGAATTCAAGAGGGAATCTGAAGAGGAAGATTGCGCAAGTTGATGTGGAGAATATAGGGACTATGGGAATTAATCATTCGGTGAAACATCTAGATACTGAGCCTGAATGGCCTCCTCCTGAGCTATAGCCAGTTTGGTGATTCTGTGAATTGTCTTAATAGATTTCCTTAAAAATAACCTATCATTAGCACATGGCTATTTGTGGGATCTTGCTGTGTATAAATCAATAATCGTGTTTCCTTTTTTTTAACAGTGACCACATTTCAAAAGTACCTCATTGGTTGTAGGGCACTTTTGGACATCCTGAGTTTGTGAAAGCCGCTACATAAATCCAAGCTTTTCTTCCATTCAAACACCTTTAAAATTCCAGATGATTTTATTTTTTCTCATTTAGCTGTCTTCGCAAACTCCAGTCTTTTTTGATGCTAGAGTGAAATCATACCAGGCTGCTTACTCATTAGTGAGAGGCAACTGGTGTTGAGTTTGACCTGAGTGCTAGCAAGGGGAGATGTTGGGAAGGAGAAGCCCGCATGGTTACTTCAGCTGGTGCAGGAATTGAAACCACACTGTTGACATTTCTCTGTCAACTGACCAGCCAACTGAACTAACTAATCAGTAATGATGACACCATCTTATAAGGACGTCCTTTTTAATCTGTCTTTCCTTATGAAATTCCTCAGTGTTGTTGCAGTGAGTAGCCAGCAGGTGGCAGAAGACAGTATGGCAGAGTGCCATGGTAACATGGCGGCTCAGTGGTTAGCTCTGCTGCCTCATAGCGCCAAGGGCCCGCATTCGATTCTAGTCTTGGGTGACTGCCTGTGTAGAGTTTGCATATTCTCCCTGTGCCTTTGTGGGTTTCCTCTGAATGCTCCAGTTTCCCCGCACAGTCCAAAGATGTGCAGGTTAGGGTGGATTGGCCATGCTAAATTTCCCATAGTGTCCAGGGATGTGCAGGCTACGTGGGTTATCCATGGGGAATGCAGGGTTATGGCGATAGGGTAGGGGGTGTGTGTCTGGGTAGGATCCTCTTCCGAGGTTGAGTTTTGGTCTCCTTATTGAGAAAGAATGTACTGGCACTGGAAGGGGTGCAGAGGAGATTTTTCGTCTTTTTGATCTGTATATCCTTTGCTTACTATGATCTACCTATACCACTCATAAACAAATCTTTTCACTGTATTTCGGTACACATGACAATAAATCAATCAATCAATCACCTAAATCAATCAATCACTAGGTTGATTCTGGAGTTGAGAGGGTTGGCTTATGAGGAGAAACTGAGGAGACTGGGATTATACTCATTGGAATTTAGAAGAATGAAGGGGGATCTCATAGAAACATATAAAATTAAAAAGGGACTAGATAAGATAGAAGCAGGTGAAACTAGAACTAGGGGGCATAGCCTCAAAATTAAAGGGAGCAGATTTAGGACTTAGTTGAGGAGGAACATCTTCACCCAAAGGGTTGTGAATCTGTGGAATTCCCTGCCCAGTGAAGCAGTTGAGACTATCTCATTGAGTGTTTTTAAAGCTAAGATAGATAATTTAATGAACAGGAAAGGAATTAAGGGTTATGATAGCGGGCGGGTAAGTGGAGCTGAGTGCATGAAAAGGTCAGCCATGATCTTATTGAATGGCAGAGCAGGCTCGAGAGGCCAGACGGCCTACTCCTGCTCCTGGCTCTTACGTTCTTATGAACACTCGATGGGCTGAATGGCATCTTTCTGCTCTGTAGGGATTCTATGAGTGTAAGTAGGGAAAGCCTTTGGTCTATAAAGACTACTCTGGCTAACTGGCCATAGTTAGCTTCTTTTGTCGTGGACCTTCATTCATTGAGAAAGTCAAATAAGTATTTACCAGTCTTCCAACATCCCATAAAATAACTTTCTTAATTTCAACTCCAAGGTATTTACAGTGGATTTTCAAATTCAGTTGCATTGTCCAAAACAGGCATCACCTAGAAATGACCTCACTCTCAACACCAGCAGTCTGCAAGCTTAGGTTTTTTTGTACAGGTACAAGCTGAAAGCTTACCCTATTGAAGGGAAAGCTACAGAACTTTGCACTACATCGCTCAACCCTTATTGTCCCCTGTTCAGGAGTTGAGGCTTGTCTTGTGGTTCGCAGAAGGCCGTAGTAATTGCACTGCTTGATTGGAGTTTAGGTCAAGAATGTTTTCAACATCCCAGTTGGAAAACCCAGTAAAACCTGTCCATGCCAGTCAGGTCCTGTATACCTCAAAATGGAGGTCCAGTACGATCAGTACAGGCACTTGCAAGTTCGACTGTTTTTGTTTGTAAACTGGTTCCCTCGCCTGGTATTTGCTGGTGTGGGTGATGGGATGAT